CACTGGAACTCCATAAAAAGGAGGGCACTTCCTTCAGCGGTGTCACCGGTCCCTGCTGCGCTGCAGTACCGCAGCGTTATCCCGAGGCCAGGACTGTGCACAGGGGCGTCGTGGCCCCTCAGACCCGCGGCCTCCTCAGCCACGGAGCAGCAGCCGAGGGCTGCGCTCTGCGGCCTCCACCGCAGCCTGCCCTTGCTTCTTCTGATGGTCCGGGGCAGACGGCTGTCCGGAGCAGCAGGCAGGGTCAGCCGCTCTGATTCAACTGCTGGTTCGTGTTTCCTGTCATCCAGGCATCTCCCTCACAAGTCTCTCCAGTCTCTGCTTGCCTGTAATCACTGCCAGGCCCTCAAGCACTGGCAGTGCCCCTCTCTGGTCAAGTACTGTCACCCTCATCAACCCTGAGGAGAGGCAGGCTTAACGGAGCACATTGCCAGAAGTGTGCATATACAGCTGGGCTGTAAACAAACGTATTCCCTTGTTATTTAGCCATTTTTTCAGACATCTCCTGTTTTGGTTGCTGACTGTTCAACCACTGTCCTCAGCTTTTGCTCTTCTCCTGGCAGTAGCCTTGAGCTTTGACTGCTGTTGCTATTTTAGCTGCTTTAATATTACATAAGCAGAAAATGTTCTTTTTAAAGGCGTCAAGTCTTCTTGCTCCAGGCCCGTGTCAGTCATTCAGAATTATTATTATTTACACAAGGTCCCTGCTGCAGTAAGTATCATATAGCCACAAGTAGCCATTTCAGTGAGCTCCCTCCGTGTCTGAGCCTAAGCTACTGCCAAGTTCTCAAGGGTAAAACTCTGCAGAGGCCAGAGAATTGCTGCTAGGGACAGAACAGCAATCCGAATTTCATTTTGGGTGATGGCTCCTTGGTGAAATTTGGCAAATAAAATTTCAGACTCCAAGCAGGGTTCCCTGCTGCCAAATGAAATACTAGTCTGGCCTTTCAAAAAGCAGGTCAAGAAAGCACAGATTTTCTCAGTAATACAATTTCTATTTACTGCAGTCTGATTTACTAGTTTGTAATTTGGGGACAAAGCAGATAATTCAGTTTTAAATAGCTTTTTTTTTTTTTTTTTAAAGTAGCTGTGCAGCTCCTTCTCTGCAGTAAGTGTAGCGTTTTTGGGCTAGAGAACTTACTGCACTTGCCCCACTGGGCCATGCCTCGAAGGCCTGAAAAGCAGCACTTAAGAAGAGAAAACTGGGCAGCAGATTTCTCAACTGATGTCAAATATGCAGCCAGGGCTCCTGTAAGTAGTAGTCTAATAGCAATGGCATTGCTCACTGCTGTAAGCAGCACTGGGGAACACTTCTAGTGAACTCCATAGTGTATTCTTATGTACAGTCTTCCAACTCATCTGCTTCATGTGTAGAGAAAGCCAAGGGCAGAAAATCCCTTCATACAAGGAAAGAGGAAAGTGACAATGCACTTATTGTGGGGTGCACCACACAGGCTACCACCTTCACAGGCACTTTGTAGGACAAGACTTGTGACTGAAAATCCTTCTCTTTGTGCAGATGGCCCTGAAGCTGTAGGCAAATGAAAAATGAAATGTGTTCCTAAAAACCCAGTAGCATAGGTGAATCAGTGCAATTACACTATACTCCCAGTGAGCATGACAAAATGACAGGACCTTTTTTTTTTCCCCCCATACGAGGTCAAATCTACCTTCTACTCTTAAATGAATTTCTTAAATGTCTTGAATCAACGTCTTGGATCTTTTGCTGCTAAATTAGACAGTAAACTCTCTGGATTAGAGGAATCACATCTTCCATGTTTCTATTCCCTTCCCTTCTCCCTGTAGCACCATCAAGTCCCAAATCTAATCATTGTTACAGTATATTGTGGTAGATGTAACCATGGACCACAAAGGGATGAGTGTTACTTCACGGTGGTAAGGTTAACATCCAGACCAGCACTGGCAAACTCGCTTGTGGTTAAAGGGCAGGATAGGAATATGCTAAAGTGCTCTCTTCAAAATCCCTGCTATGGTTCAAATAGCCACCTTGCCCTGGCACACTCCCTTCTCTTGCTTTCACCCTGTTCTTGCTCCTCTGATGGTCTGGATGTTTTGTGCCACCATGGAGCAGTGGGAGGCAGTCAGCTCCCAGTTGCTGGTCCCAGCCCCAACCCAGCTCAGCAGCAGCAGCCAGATAGACCCATCAGTCCAGAAGCAGAAGGCTTATGAGGGTTGCTTTCTAGCACACTTAGTAAGATGAAAATAATAGCTCCAAGGAAAATGCATCCATTTTCCTTTACAAATCCCTGGTGTGGAAATGTTTTAACTTTTAATGAAGTCCATCTGTGCAGAAGTGCTGGCTCTAAAGGATTCACAGAGACAAGACACTGGTGTAGCCTGCTCCTTCTTCCTCCTGTTTTTCCATTGATATAGAAAGCCCTGAGCAGTGCCCGGATACTCCTTCTCAGCACCCAGTCTCTTCCTTTGTTAGCATGAAAAGTATAAAGATGCTAATGAGCCTGTGCTTTCTAACAGAGCCCACTCACACAGGATTACCTGGGAGGCTAGGAAAGGGGAGAGAATATGATCAAAAACATAAATCCCAAGAGTCAAGAGACAAACAAACATTTGAACTATTAGAAAAGCAATAGGCTGTAAATGAGAGCAGGCAAAGCAGTCCCAAGAACTACACAGACTGGAAATTAGTGCTGCTGCTCAGCACTCAGCCATGCTTCCTGAGGAAGTGGACAACTGCTTGGGTATTGACTACAATGAGGTCAATCACTATAAAACCACCAAGCAGTGGTGGTGTAGCCCACAGACTTAATTTCCACTTTAATTTAGCATTAATTCATGTCCTCTCTAGTAAACATGCAGGCACTTTTTAAAGATCCTACTGCAAGTCACTAATGACAATACTGTAGGACTATCACAAAAAGAAAAAATCAGGGATTTCTATCCTGCATCTCAGACCTGAGAAAGTAAGACATTTCTATTTTTTTCTTTGCACAAAAGAAATAAAATACTGTTCTCAGTTTGAGTAACTTTTCAAAGTCTTTAACTAGTGTAGTAACAATAAGACTTTTTTTTTGTAGAACATTTGCTATCAGAAACTGTAAGCAAAAATACCATCTAGGACCGAGTATACACGGGAGATATCATCTGATAACATCATCATAATTTATGGGGTGCCTTGTCTTAAATATACCGATGGACTTTATCAGGATCACATAAGTTAGGAGATTCACATTGTAAAGATTATGCGCAAGAAAAAGGCTTGTTCCAAACATTTATGTGTAAAAAAGTGACAGTTAATAGCAAAACGTATGTCAAAGAACATGCTTTTGTCGGTGAACATGAGGATCCCCTCACATGTGCAGACTGCCCACAGCCCATGCTTAGTCCCACAGGACAGATGAACCTTGCTGAGCACAAGCCAAGTGTAACATCCAGTACACTCCTCAGTCCTCTGGGATTCATTTGCTAAACAAAGAGCGTTCATTAGTAAGAAATCGTAAAGTTGTTAAGAAGAGGCTTTTCTACCTCTTGAAGCTTTTGTGCCTTTTTCAGCCACATGTCTATAGAAAATAGAACATTGACAGTCTGAGCATGTCACAGGAAGCAAAAGCATCCCAAATACTGCAGTAATACAGCTGGATATCCACACAAACCTATGCAAGAACAGCCAACCTGGTAACTAGAATCCTTTCTCTCAGAGAGCAAAGGGTCAGTCTGGGATGAGTTTTAGTACAGCTTGCCTGAAAAATGAAATTGCAAAAATACAGGGAATTTAAAATCATCCATAAATATATTCTGAGAGTGAAATGAGTGATTCCACTGCATAGATACAGCTTCATCTTCTGAATATGCTTAATTGGATACTTCAGTCTTCCATAGACTCTTATAATCCAAATTAGGCTGCAAAATAAGAAAGCAGTCCCCCGTAATAAGCAACAAAAACAATGCCAGAAGCCACCCCCAGAAGCAAACACACAGCATGAGAAGACTTAACCATTCTCATGTCCACTTTCCATACTAACCAATGCATATAGAACCTTAAGATTGTATTTTCTTTCTTTAAATCAGAGGAAGGAAGAAAGGAATATGAGATTTTATTATTAGTCTGTTGATTTACTATATGGAAATAAAACCTGGTTCTAACTTCCTAATAAGCACCAGCACAAGAATGTTCTTTCTTTTCTTGGGAAAACCTGTAACTACATTTCCCAGGGGCTCCTGAACAATGACTCTGGTTCTATAAAGTTTCATATAAAACAGCACATTTTTTTTCTTGTTGAAATTAACAGAAAGTATACAAGGAATTTAGCACTTGCTTCTCTCCAAGCTAATTCAAACACCTTCAATGTAGAGCAACAAAACTGCCAGGAGACTATCCTAATATAAAACCTAGTTATTTTGGTACACTGAAAACAGTTTTAAATTGGCAACATAGCATAACCATTAGAAAAATTGCTTTACATGAATTGTGGCTAATTTCCAGCAGGTTCCCAGTGTGAGCCATTAATACCCAGAGGTTCAATCATTGATGCATGTAAGATGGATTAGGACAACTCCAAAAAGCTGTGCAGTTTTTAAAGGTACACATTCCAAAGCAGAGGCCTAAATATTGGTTCAGTATGGCTGAGCATCTCTGGCTGATCAGAGCATGACCAGTTTTACACTATGCCACCAAAGGTTACTTTATACTGAAATGATTAAGCACTTCTTGATCCCAATCAAGATAACTATGACACAGAAGTTAAGGAACTCAAGAGAGAAAGGAATTCCCATTCTGCTCATGTTTCAGTATTTTACATAACACCACATAAACAGCAAAAACAGATTTGCTTTGTGAGTCAAACACAACGTTGATCAAAGATATCATTGAACTTAACTTGCTGGTTTTTGAACAAAAGGCCCCATCACACAATCCACACTGTAATCAGGGCACTAAGGCAAGGAATGTTCTCCTTCCACTGAAAACCATGGAGATTTTGGGAAGGAGGAGAGTGACCTCCTTGGGTAGAAGCTGCTCTTACCTCGGACATAAAGGTTGGCTGGGGCAGAGTAGCGGGTTCCTGCGCTGTTGGTTGCAACACACTCATATTTGCCTTGGTCTGACTCCTCACTGTTCTCTATTTGCAGAGCTCCTGTACACAAACAAGATGAAACAGACAATTCAGGTTATGGCAAATCTGGTAATCAAACCAACAGCCTCTGAAAAGGAAGGCCATGCCCCACACTTTTAAGGTATCTTCCTGGATAAATATTTCATGATGTTCCCTGGACCCACAAGGTACCAGCATGCAGCCAAAGGTACCCAGTCTGCTGTTAGAAACTTGTGAAATTGATTATTGTTATTTTTCTAATGTGCAGGGAACCAATTATTGATTTGTTTCTAACCATCCCAACCACTTCTATTTTTTTGCTTTAATAAAAGAAGAAAACATACACATACACACATATTAATTACAGCTTCGTATGGGAGTCCTGCCTAATAAAAGGACCTCTAATAAGTCTTGAATCAAAACAGGCAAGCACAAAGCACACTTAACTGTAGCTGTTTCTTATCTGATCCACACAATGCCTAGCAAACACTCAACAAATTACAAGCTTCCTGCAGAAATTGGCAGAGCCCCATCCCTCCCACCTCACCACTCTTCCTTGGTGATGTTTCAAAAAGACATCTCTTTTTGAGAAAACACTTTGCCTTTCGTCAGTTTTTTCCATGTTAGTGCTCTCTGTATTTTTTCAGATTTCATCATATACAATATAAAACCGTAGAAAGTTAGTCTGAGACAAGAAAGATACACAGCAATGCAATGCACCCCAACTGCTGCACGGTGCTCGTGTGAAGGCCACCCTCCCTTTGTCCCAGCAGTGCCTGCTCCCCCACCTTTGGGTCAGGAATAGATGCTTATTCCATCCTACACATTCCTTGGGACATGATCTGACCCCATCCCCAAAGTGCCAAATGCATGAGGGGCACATGTAAATAATGGCAGCAACTGTCAGGGCACACAGAGTAGCACTCTACATGGGGAACCTGTACAGCACCAATGATGTAGAAGTGAGCCATAGTCTAAGCTGGTTTTCTTTCATCTACTCAGCGTATTCCACTGGTGTCCAGCAGCACTCAGCCTGGCAGCCTGGACTTTCCATCCAAATTCTTGCCCAGCACAGATGACTGCACAATTGGTCACACCTAGACTCCCTTAACTGGGCTCCACATGCAGACTAAAAGATGGAGATGCAGAGAAAGAAAGAAGCAGGATGCATACGACAGCAACCTGGCACTGCAGGAGTGTGTGGCCTCTGGCCAGACACTGAAGTGGCTGCTGCTCAGCCCCTTTTCTCCAGGCATTGTGAGAATAATTTTCTAAGTGCCTCCAAGTGCTCAGATTCTGCTGGTTAGCATTGCCTGCAAGAAGGGAACTCTGCTCACAAACCATATACCAAACTAAAAAATGTTAACCCCTTTGCTTGTAACGATCTGAACTCATTTCTGCCCGACACGGTTCAAAATGACCACTGAGAGCCACACTGAGAATAGCTGGTGAAATTGCCTTCTCCCTTCTTGCTGGTTCAAGCTGCAAAGGTCAAACTCAGTTTTTCATATCATCAGAACAGAAGAAAAACTAATGTGAATCAAGCACTGCCACCTACATTATTTAGAAGGATAAATTGAGACTGTAGCATAAGCCTATATGTCATGGGGAAAAATGAACTTCCCTGGGTTCTGCCATATAATAAAAATGATCTAGAGAGTCCTCCCTATTGTTGCATTAGTGCTGGAAATGAGGCTTCAACTAGACAGAGAAAGCTCATTTGCAGAAAGTCTTTCCACCTATCAACAAAAGGATCTGCCAGCTTGCCTGGCCATAGCACTCTCTGGACACCTGCAGGCTGAAGCCTACAGAGCTCTGCTGCTTAATTCAGGGACAACAGTGAATTTCTACACCCTGTCTGGAAAAAGTATCTTCAAGCAGGCATCAGCATGATAGGCAGTGGAGCAGGACAAAGTTTCCCAGCATTGACAAGATACAGAGAATCAGGGAATCTAGAAATGGAAAAGACCTATTAGGTTACCTCGTGCATCCCTGGGGACCAGGGCAGGATTGCTCCCTGTTGTAAATGTGCTTGTCTTGTGTCCAATCCCATTTTAAATGTGTCAAGTGATAGGTCTTTCACTACTTCCTCAAGGAATTGATGCCACTGCCTGGTTATGCTCTCTGTCAGGAAGATTTTCTCAGAATTCACCATATATTACCTCCTTTTGTAATTTCTGCTCATCATTCCTTGGGCATGCATTTGCTGCAGAGCTCATTCCAAGTGCTCCCACCAAGCTTATCTGGGAAAAGCTGTCTTTTGCAAAATATACCCAAGCTTAACAAAAAAAACCCCAACTGGCTGGGCTGGAAACAGAGCCAGCTTCAAGTCATAGTAGTGTCTGCCTAGAAAAAAAATAAGATCCCTAGATAATTCTGCCATAAACACAGACCTTTTTATATGACTGTTTTAGCCATTTAATACCTATCACTGGTATTTTTTTTACCCTTTATACTCAGATCACCATGACTCTTAAATGTCAATCAAACTATTTTTCATCTTTAGGGGCCCCAACAGCAGAAAGGGAAAAAGAGAATGAAGAAAATGAGGGGAGTTTCAAAAGAAATGCTGTTATTGCCTGTCAACACAGACCAATTTCTAGAACCATACTATAAACATGCAACATGTCAGCAACTGCCTACAAACTGCTCAGGGACATTGGGCAAGGGACTCTGGCTTTGTCTGGGTTGGCACAACTATTCAAACTATGGGGTGTCAGGAGGAAGACAAGAACCCAGAGCAGACGGAAGTCAGCACAAACCTCTCATATGAAGCAGAAAGAAAATAGGTAGTGCAATAAATCATCGTTAGACAAACATACAGATCTTGCAGCACAACTGATAGCCAGCAGGATCATGGTAAACTGATTGCAGTCAGTGGGGCTGTAGGGGTTTTCTTGAAGGACAACCTACAACTAAGTAATGGATCCAGGAAAGTGTAGGCTGTCTCAGAGTACAAAGATTTATGAATAAAGCTAAGAAGCTTAGACATTTCTGGAACCAGAAAGCTGGAGGCAGACATGCATCTGAGACTTGGGAAAAAACTTCCTAAAAAATGCTCTCAGCTCTAGTTCAGTGATCCCAGAAAAAGAAAGACATCATCTGTTGGAGGGTTCATGTCTAGGGTGGACAGGACACATAGAGCACAGGAAAGCTAAGAGCTGAGTTCTGAGTAGCATCTTCCCCTGAAATTCATGGAAGCTGCATCCAAAGATGCTCAAAAGCGCAGTGAACTCTTTGCCTTGACAAGTACAAAGGATCTGATTTCTATTCCTAGCCCTGTCAACATCTCATAATCTTCTGTGCCTCTGCAAACCAGGGCTAGGAAGGCTGATTTATTCATTACTTTGGGATTTATGTTGCATAAGTTCCTGAGTGAGGTCTTGTTCACACAGGATGTTACTGCAGACTTCTCACATGGACTCCCCCAGTGCTCCTGTGCCAGGTGCCTTGTTCCCATTTGTGTGGCCAAGTCCTGACATGCAATCAGACAGCAGGGCTTCGGTGGATGCATGAGGGCCATCTAGCACCAGGACATGGATACAAGAGGAGCAGTGAACAGCTTGTTTGGGAGCCTGGGGAGCTCTGCAGCAGCACGTGCACATCAGAGTGAAACCTGTCCCTGTTGAGCACCACTCAATTCCCGCTGCTCCTCTGCAGCACGTCTCCAGAGGAAGAGGGGAACAATTCCTCACCACACTGCCATGTCATGTCAGTGTTGCTTGTGCCTCAGACCTGCTCCTGATAACACATCTCAGCTTATCAGAGAGCTGGCAGCTCCTGAGAAAAACCCCTGGCTGCTCTCCAGTGCCAGGGAGAATGGTGACAAGGCAGAGTTTTCTAGGGCTGAGGGCAGGAGTCAGCTCTGCTGACTGACAAGCATTCCTTACTTTAGATTCTTTATTCCTCTTTACTCTATGCTGGTATCTTGCCAGCCTCTCCCTTTCCTCTCCTAGCTTTTCTTTTGCTCTTTAACTTGGGCACATACAACAGCCCTGTTAGCAGCTTTCCAAGATACTTATCTATTCAAATATACTTGTGCTCAGGCAGAATCATTAGTTGCAGTGACAGTAGTTAAAAGAAACATTTAAAAAGTGCCCTGCACAGAGAAAGCATAGGGAAGGCAGATCCTGATAAGGGATGCTTTTTGGCACTGCTGGCTACTGTTCTGCCATGGAGGGCTTGTCACTCTCTTCTCCAGGTGACAGAAGGCTCTGAGCTGCTGTACAAACTGATCCCTCTGAAATCCTGCTCTGTAGCTCATTGGGAGCTTGTGCCCTCTTCTCCCAGAGAGCACCGCATGGAGCCAAACACCACAGCTCCTGAGGCAATGCTTTTCTGTATCACTCCAGGTTGGAGCTCCATCCCCCAGCAGTGGGAACAGCTCTTTTTCTCTATCAGGGCATTCACAGCCTCAGTCCTCTGGGCTCACAACCAGGGGACTGACTTTTTGCCCTTGTTATAAAATCAGACATGGAATTAAATGCTCCTGTAAATCACCCAAGAGTCAGAGAAAACAGGCTGCAGACACAGCACTCATCTAAGAAAAGGACTTAGATATGTAGATATAATGAACCCAACTACCTGACCAGGGCTCTTCCTCTCAGCAAAGTGGTAAATTCAGCCCATCTGCACATTAGAGCATATGGAGCATTAGAGCTATCCTAAAAATCTCCCTTTTCTTTCCCTCTGCTTCCCATCAACTACCTTCACATAAAAACTACCAGATTTTTCCTCCGGCAGTATTCTTAGCACCCTCCTCAGCCAGTTCCTTCTTCAACAAATGCTCAAGTGTGGGTCCCAATTGCTTTTGCTAAAAATTTCCTCCTAGGGAAGGAGAATTTCTCTAATAAAACCCAGAGAGCTGTGCAGCAGGGTCAGAGACAATCCCAGATCAAATAAGGACTCATAAGTGTCAATATGGTGGACAAAGAAACAATGTGAAGCCCTGACAATGGGAGAGTTGGACTCTGACATCCTGGCTGCTGCCTGAGATAACAAACACTTGCTATGGGAGCTGCAAAAAAACACCAGACCATGTGAAAGTCACTAAAAATGAAAATAAGCATTTCCCATATTCCCTAATTTTGGAAATTTATAACAGCAGCATCTCCCAGATGTTGATGTACAGAGGATTGTACCTAGTCTCCACAAGCTATTGGCACTGCCAAATATGCAAAACAAGGTAACTACAAATGTATTTTCTTTGATAGTGTTCATTATGGTTATTATGCCTGTGAGGATGGGGATTGGCATACCAGGGGCCTGTTCTGGATGGCAGCACTGCTGAGAAATCACTCTCCTGAGCACCAGAGGCAGCTGCTGATGGTACCTGACTGCTGCCAGGAGCTGGACTCAGGCAGAGGAAAGGAGAGCCAACATTCTCAGCAGTGCAGGGCCTCCTCTTAGACAGGAGAGTTTCAGGATGCTCTGATTTCTCACTAGCAGGTACAGGGAATCTCGGGGGACTCTGCCTCAGAAGCAAAACTACAGCACTGTCAAAAGCACAGTAACACCTCTGTGTGCTTCTAAAGGGACATGAGTCAATCTGAATGTGACAGTAAGAAACATGGCATTACAAGCATTTCCAGGCACTATCCCACCCAGCCTCCCCCTGACACTTCTCCTACAAGTAGATCTCATTTTAAAATTGTTTTTCTTTCGCTTTCTTTTGGTGACTGGAAAAGCTCAAGAAATGGGAAGAAAATCCTATAATACACAAAGTACAACCAAATGTACAAACACATACTCAAAAAGAGACAGCAAAATTCTTTTAGCTTCCTCTAATCTCTTTGGATAGCTTTACGCTCCAGCTTGCAGGATAGCATTGAAATAATGGAGCTATATTTAAACCACTTCACTTGGGACTGGAAAAGGTTTAGCTAGCGCTATACAGAAGTCGGTGCGGGTGTTTACCTGGCTTCCCAGACAGCTTCTGACACCCAAGTGAGCTGATCTAAAGTTAATTCAGACAGACCTCTGCTACGCTGACGTCTGCAAGGAAGAAATACTCTTATGTATAGGAACCTCTGATATTTCCTGTGGTGACAGAAAAGTAACAAATAAACCTGACTGGAAAGGGATAATACCTGAGATGATGGTATTTGTTTACCTCCTCATGTGTATCCAATCTAGTCCAGCACCCACTGGAAACACAACTGCATTCTGCTCTCTCTTACAGCCCAGAGCAGGAAAATGCAGCCAGGTTTCACAAAAGGTTGAGTGAGTTAAATTGCAGAGAAATTCTGGAAATTAACATCTTATATTCTACTTTCAAAATAAAAATGGGGCATAAATTGCTCAAACATGGATTTGCTGATACTATCTGTGGGTCACCCTAAGAAGCCAGCTCTTGCCTAATCTGAGAGGCATTTGCCAGCTCTGTGTCTTTCTGATGAACAAGCAGGGATTTCAAGATTAAATTACGATCTGAGGCAGTCCCAGAGGTGTAAAGAGTGAACCTACAGATGGAAATTCAGAATTACGGATGGGAATTCCTCCTGTTTCAGGGAAGCCAGAGATGTCTTGGACAGAAAGGACCAAATACGTGTGGGTAAGGTCAAATAAGTTTGTTTAGAGATAAAAATCTCTTCCTGTTTGGAGGGGTGCATGATAGAATATCTCAGGTCATCCTCTGTCTAACCACCTGCCGTTCCCTCCAGGTGGGTTTGCCGCCGCTCTGACAGAAACGTCTTGGATACCATCCCAAGAACTGCAGACACACAACTCCTAGCAACACAGTCACAGCAGCAATGACATCAAACCAAAACCACCCCTTCCCCCCAAACATTATTACCAAAAGGGTTCATTAAGAGTAATTAGTTCACCCTTCCTTTCAGACCAAATTAATGGATTCCAAAGCATCAAACTTACCTTAATGAGGAACAAGAGTGCAGCTGGGTATAGAACATGGCAGAACAGTCACTTCTACATGGACACAACCTCACCATCATAAAAGCACTTTCATCTAATCTGTCGTTATCTTTAGAAATTCAATGACCTCCGTTTTAAATAAAAGGCATCAGGCTGACAGAAATCCTCTAGGAGAAGCCAGAGAGCAGCACGTGGCTTCTGTTTGCTCTTACAGAAATGTCATCTTTGACATTCAAACAGGACACATATATTTTAAATAATGTCAAGAACACTCTTAAAATACCTCATCAGGACTCAAACGGGGGTGGGAAGGGGGTGGGGGTGCGGGGAAACTTATGTTTTATGAGATGGATGGTTCTTTCCACAGAGATGCGATCGGTTCCCAAGCAGGACGTATGGAGTATCCATGTGGTTCTGGTGCTGAGTCACTAATGTCATCAGCTAGGACGGGCGTGCAGCAAAGCGTGAGGGGAGGCCCTGGGATGGCTGCACACTCAGCGTGCTCGGCCGGGAGCTCGGAGCGGATGGCGACTTAGCATTCCATCTGTCACTTCATTTTAGCGTTTGCAGTAGAAATTGGAGATGAAGAAATAGTTTTAAGGAGTTTGTAGCATCACAGCTGTCAATCTCCAGTCTTCCAAAGGGAAGAATGACAGATAGGTAAACCCATTCATATAAAAATAAGGTTTGCAGTCTTTTTCCCTGACCCAGATTTGCTACAAAGGCAACTTAATGCAAATATGTATCAAATAGCAATTCACATTTACTCTAAAATCACTTAACAGAAGCTGAAAACATTAACCCCCAGCAACAGAACCAGTTCCAAGAATAAGATTATTAACTTCCAGCAGTGATTCAGGGAAAAGGGGGAGGAAAAGGGAGAAGGGGGAAAACTGAACAAACGAGGTTGTGTTGATTTATAGGTAGTAGTCATTCTGTCAAGAAATCCAGAGGTCAATCAAGAGGGGTAAACCAAAATCACAAGAGAATTAGGAAGGGCCTCAGCACATAACACTGATTAACATGCTAAAGTTAATCTAAAGAGACAGCTTTGAGTGTTTAGGCTAGAAAAAACAACACTCCAATTGGAAAGTCATTACTGGTGCACACAGGCTGTGAAAACTACCCAGGGACTGTGCATCAGACTGGGCTGGGCTGTCAAACCAGGGGTGGGTTTAATTAATGAGGGCTTAAACAGCCAGATACAACACTTCTGATTTATCTATTTAAAACAAACCTTAATGATGCAAAACAACATCGGAATGTCCAGCTCAGAAAGGGGGGTCTGGGTCAGTGGTTCTCCACTATGCCATCACACTAGAGGGTGAGTGCACTTAAAAGAGAAACATGAACACAAAGGTGTTCCTTATCCCAGAGTCACGTTTACTCAACCTTTCAAGAAATTTTCTCCTTCCATTTAGAGTTTCATGACCATCAGCAGCAGCACAGATGAATTTGACCATTCTCTTGTGAAAATGTTACCTCCAAATCCTTATACCAAAGCAATCCATCTGAAACCCTTGAGACACAAGACCTCAGAAGGTCACAACTGTGTGGGAAGTTCAGAGACTTTCAGGAGCTGCAAAGTATGTCAGCTCTTCTGTGGTGGAGGTCTGGGAGCATTTCCCAAACTTTTGCAAACTTTCCTTTGAATAACCCCCTTTCAACAGTGCAAAATTGCAATGGATGAGTCTACAAGAAATCACGCTAAAACCCAACTGAAATAAACACACTAGTGGGAGAGTGCAGATGAGTGAGAGCACTGGCAGAGTTAGGGCTGAGAGTAAAAGCTGGAGATGAGAAACACCGGAGAAGGGACAAGGCAGACAGGAGATGGAGTGACGTGACAACTGGAGGCACATTTCAGCATTCTTACCTCTGATCGGTGTACCACCTGGTGAGGTAATTTGAATGCAAATAAGATTAGAGAGAAGCATTAGTACAAAGAGGAAAGGAAGAAAATTATAACTAAAAAGCAGAAAGTTTTTTTAAAGCTAGAATTTGTATTAGCGCGACAGGAATAAACAAAAAGAAACTGATGTGCAATAAAAGTCAGAGTGACACTCTCAGGAGGTTAGTAAAGCTTACTGCTTTCAGGAGTGCAGCATCCAGCCCTGCATCTGGCCATTAAAACCCCCACCCTCATGAACAGGGGCCAAACTAAGCTGCCGAGGTGGCACTGCTGGCTGGCCTCAGCACTTGCATTCACCCACACCACTGTTCAAGCAGTTGAGATGGAGGACACTTTGGGGAGATGGTGCAGTGCCCCTTTCATTCCTCATACAGAACAAGGAGGGTGTGTCCTGGGGCTGTGTGACTGTGAGTGTGCTGGGCAGGAGGGGTGGAAAGCACATGGCTGCGGGCACTCGGTGCAATTTGGCTTTGAGGTTAGAATGACCAGTGGGACAAAATCTGCTCGCTTAAAAACATTAAACTAAGAGGAAAGTGTAATAAATCAGATTTGAGTCATTCTCCACATTCGCATAACCCTTGCATCAGGTTCCCTCTGGCAAAGAAATTGGTGTCACACAGAATTAACTTTACATACAGAAATATTTCGAAACAAAGTGGTTTCTGGTAATGTAACAATGGCACGCTAGCCAGATCTCTGTTCCTGTCTAATTTGGATGTTAGCAGAAGAAAGGAATCCCTACCCTCTTTATAAGGCACTGGAGATAATTTTACATGCTGTAATGAAGAGTATCTTATAAGGAGGGCTTCTCTGGGAGTAAGGTTAAATTATCCTGTTGCAACAATCTATAAAGGTTCATTTTATGAGGTCAAGGTATTTACCAAGTGGAGGCTCCACTGGTCAGTGTCTTGAGTTCGGTGTACAGTCAATACTGAAGCATGAAGCAGAAGCTCCAGCTGGGCAAATTGGCAGGGAACCCCTTCTAATCCCCACTTTTGTCCCCTTGGTCTTAATTTGCACATATGAAGGCTGTTAGTATAAGGGAGAGATTCATGCAAATTGAATCCGTAGGCAGTTCATGGTATGTGTTGGTTTTATGCAGATTTGTAGGATCTGAATACCAAGCACTTACCAAAGAAAACTGAGGAGTTTAAACAGACAGAAAAATAGGGTTAAACAGGACACAGTGTGTCAAATCATGTTCAGTGTATTGATTAATAAATACCAGTATGCATACAAGAGTGTCGTGTATCTCAGATTTACAGCTCATTCCATTATCCACAACAATGATCACCCAATGGGAAAGAAAGACAGAAAAGAATTTCTGTAAATACAAAGAAGGCATATTTTAAGCACATTTAACTTGCCTCTTAAAAAGTAATTACAATATTTATACTTATTCTTTCTTTTCTAACTACCCTTCCTTAAGGCAGAGTCCCTTTTTTGAAGTAGGAGTGCAATTCAAACTACTCATTTTAGCATTTTCCTCTGCCAAAATGACATTATCCCATTTTAACTTTATGTCTCGTTATATATTCTGATGTCTTCTATCCAGAGATGACTGAACATCAGGAAAAATCTTGCAGTGATTGAAGTTGTGGGTAATCTCTCTCTTGGAATAATAATCTGCTGCTTACTTATGTATCTTAGTATCTACCGCTACCCTTAACAGAACAGCTATACCCAGAGATACTTGCATGGAATAGCACAGCCATGGAAAACAGGGTTATTTCTCTTTGCCTGTTTGGAAAGTTTGCCAAGTGATATTTTTGTCCTGTTTGGTCTAGGGCATTCCCACTCTGGTGTGTTGTGTGTCCTCCCAACCCATGCCTTCCAATTTTCAGAGTTAGGGGAAGCATCACCACAATGTGTCACTTCACACAGGAATGCAGGTGCAATGACTTTGAGCACAAGCCCAAGGGACTAAAAACATGACCCCCTTATCTCTCACCTGGCTGAAATAGGGTTTGTTGCTCTGTCCTACAACTGAAAAGATTTGCAGGAAATCTTTTTATCTACTCCCTGCAGAGGCTCAATCCTTTCTCTATTATGCAATTGTCTATACAGAGCTCTAGAAACAACTGCATACTTGAAGCAGATTCCCTAAAATGTTAAATGTGGACAGCTAATTTTTTCATTAGTAAAATCCCAATTCTCCTGGCTTCTGAACGCAACCCAACCCTTGCGGAAGCAACAGAGAGGCTGGCTGTATTTACTGCAGTGTTTGTTTCACCTGTCACCTTTGCCAAGTTAAGACATTCAATTTTCACTCAGAGGACACCATTACAGAGTGTGCACAAGGCTTTTCATACAGACCCCAAATTTCCTCATCCAGAAGGAAAAAAATTAAGTTTTCCTTTATCCTTTACATCATATGATGATTCATCTCTGGCTGCTGTCCTTTTAGGGTGCCCCTCAAAAGGATAAATCACAGCGCACAGGCCACAGAGTGCCAAAGGAAGAGACCATCAAGTGATGGAAGTGTCATCATTCCAAAGGTTACTGAGGCAAACCTGTGCCCTCTGATCACCAGACTGCTTTATGCAAAGGGCACCCCAAGATCGAACTTCAAACCCAATTCCTTGTGTTTGAAAGGTTTGAAACACTCATAAGGAAGGAGAGTTTATTTCCTTTTCATGATAACAGACACTGAGTAACACCCCACACATTCACCTCAGTAAGGAGTGTGTGCTGACCTGATACTCTGTATGTCCTAGAAGCATCCAGTCAGACACTCAAAGCAAGAAAAAACCACAGGATGATACACTGGAAAACCCCCTGGGGTTATTTGTGTCAGTATTTCCTAGCATGTGGAAGTTCTGTTGGAGAAGGGACTTTACTCTGCTGACAAACTCACATTACTGACATACCATCCTTGTAGGAACCTAAACCAGCAAAAAATCACTCCAAAGCAACATCAGCAGAGAAACCAAAGCTCATGCTAGCTGCAACTGAGCACTGCAGCAGTGCAACACTGGATCCCAGAGAACTCTGACAGTGCTTTTGGCTACTTCCTAGCATAGGTTATGGGGAAACTCTTTTCTAAAGTGAAAGACTATTTGCCACCAGGTGCCACAGGGAGTCTGAAGGTATTCCACAACTGCTGTGTGTGCCTCACGCAGCACGACCCAGGTGCGCAGTTAGGTTCTTCCAGGAGACAAAACTTCAAATGTCAACCGGCTGTTGTTGGCCACTATATTGCTTCAACCCTTTTCCAGTCAGTCCTTTCTGAGAGAGCATCCATCCTTGTGTGGGTTGCCTGATCCCTGTGGATAAAACTACCCAATCTCCATTCTTTTAGGCTGTCTTTACATCTGTCCCAAGTCAATGCCTATCTGATGTCTGGACTTGAAGCTGTTCCTTGCTAAGAGCTGAACATCTGCTGGATACTGACTGCTGGGTATTAGCAGTGAAGCAGGATGTGGACATCATGGCCACTTCACTGAGACAAAGAGGCACCACCTCTTTCTGCAAGTTAGCTCTGTGCATGTTGGGTACTCCTTTTGTTTCCAAGTAAGTAGTGCTTCTACTGATAGGATCAAGCCTAAATGAAAATGCTTGCTGAGCCCAAACGCAGTAAGGTGATATGGTGAGCCAGCTCCCTCTGCTTCTGTGTTAGAGGCTGTGCTACTTTTCCAGAGAGTGACTGAAGTCACCTGCAGAGTCCTCTCTAATACTTAACTTGCAGTTAATTGTCTGAAAGTCGCTCTAGGGTCGAGGGCATGGTTCTGTAACTCAGTTAATTGAAAGTGATTAAAAGAGAATGATACTTTTTGTAACACCAAGTTCTCTATTAGATGAAAGATAATGTTTTCTGAACTTCTAGAGTTTTCTCACATGGCAAAGAGTTATGTTAACAGTCAGAATAGCTATTTATTCTAATTTGACATTTTGTTCATAGGTTTTCTGAAGAGCAAGGTGGAAGAACAATTCTTCAGCTATGAAAATCACTGGAGACATTCAAGAGCTTTGAGAGTATGAATTCCAACAGAGTTGCTTTAAAGTCCTCAGGAGCTTCTGATCCAAGAATCTGCACAGAAGAACTGTAAAGCATCGGCACAATCTGATCTATAGTGAGAGAGCTTCCACCACATCATTAAAATACAGTTAGAGGTGCAGCATTGTCTCTGGCTGCCAGAACTCACATGTGTCATCACCTGCAATACTACAGTGCCTGGACAGTTTTAAAATCAGTTCAGCCAAATGTATTTTAAACGTGTTAGCATGCTGGGGAGGTTTCCCAGCCCAGAGCTGGCCTTAGCTCCTGTGTCACTGACTGAGGCAATGAGTGAAGCTCCACACCCCCGGGGGAGAACAGGGAGTTGTCCTGAGTCACTGCACTTGCAGAGCAGCAGCCTCCCCACAAGAAGTGGGAAGTATTAGCAAGATGAACAAGGGAGAATTTGCTACAGCCAGCATGACTCAGAGACCTTGCTTTTGCCTTGATCTGGGAAAATAGAGATGAAACCCCAGATTTCTTTGTGTTCTCTACAGCTGTTAGGCTAATATTTACTTGCAAAACTACCGAAAAACTGGACTTAAAATATAATTAAGCTTTACTTGGGAAGAAAAACCTAAACAATAGTGAGAAATAGTTAAAAAAGCTCTCCAAATATAGAGTTATGCTGTCAGAAGGTGTAATAGGAAAAGTGCATATACACACATATAGATATAATTACTAAATGACGGAGAGTAGATACAAAGCAAATTTATTAACTGTCCATTTGCTCCTGACAAAGACACCAGTTTGCTGGGGTTAAAAAAGCCTGATGGTGGCTCGGATGTCTTAAACCACAATCTCAACCTAGTACCTTGATGAACGGAACTCTATCAACTGATGTTCAGAGCCCCCTGGGGCACATGATCTGACTGAATGCAAGTTCAAAGACTTGCCTGAAGCCCCCAGAGCACTGCCAGCCCACATAACTGTGAGTGTCAGAAAAGAGCACCTTTCCCAAACATGCTGCTTCTTTACCTCTAATTATTTATACCATTCAAGGAGCCCGAAGAAACAGAACCATCCCTCAACCCTCTCTCTACGTCAGACTCCACAGCTGTGTTGACCTTCATGACCTGTATTTCGTACATCTGAATACTAATATATTATGTACTCATTGAAGGTCGGACACTATATACACAGTATTGGGCTCACAATGTGCTGCAGCTATTTTAACTATATTACATCTGTCTCGCTTTTATTGGGTTTTAATTAAACAAAATTAAATGAGCGTATATTTAGATTGAGATAGTATAAACTGACATTCATGCAGATATGCCAGCATGACTATAAGATATGATCTTAATGGAGCAGAGACTTTGCAAACTATTAAACTCTACCATATAATGAGGTATCTATTTAAATACTCTTTTCTTTGAAAAGCAACTCTGTCTAACTACAGTGTAGTATTGGAGAGCTCAATTAACACCTTGCAGAATGAATGGGAAACTGCCCAAGCCATCACATTGCTCATACAGAGTGCTGCAGTCACCTAAGTGGGACTCAGGCACTTCAAAGTGCAGGCCCTACTTTATGTCCACTACAAATAAAGGAAAAAGCCACAAATGCAAAGGGGAGTTTAATCTCTGGCCCATGAGAAGCTGTGAACTTCATGTTCCCCACTCATGCCAGGGTGGAGCAGAGCCTTGGTGAGTCTTGGCATCATAGCACCAGATCCCTGCAAACAAAACTTCAAACTCATATTTAGAAGTCTCTTGCACTGAACTGTAGAAACCTCCCATACTACATTAGAGAGCTAATCAATTTCTTTTGTGAGTCTGAGATGTGTGTTGCTCATTGATTTCTAAAAGGTTCCCTTGACACCTCCCTTGGTAATTACTGTGTCTTCCGTAAGCAGCCAGCTCTAGAGTTTGAATCCCACGTGAAATATTCAATTGAGATGTTGCTCAAGAACAGCGAATAGGAATCAAAACTTGGACACTCTGACAGGCTTTACTAGTTTGTTTTTAAACTTTCTATCTCACCAAAGTTGTGAAGCAGCTGGTAGAGAGGCAGCCAAGTGCTTGTGAAAAGGAGGCTGGAGAACGTACAGCAAGTGCATCAGAGGCTGCCTTGCTGCTCATTTATGGTAATTTCTGATGCTGATTTAGTCAGCTATGAAGTGAAACACATCCATGTGCACGTTCCTATTGCTGCTTCCTAAAGCTTCTCAGAATAATTAACAAGTGTGATATTTTCTTCCAGCACAAACAGATCAAGATTAAACCATGTTGCGGGGGAGATAAACTAAAGGTCACTGGGAAATTTCAAAAACTATAAATGCAATATATAATTAGCGTTCACTGGTACATCAAGGTGGGATCAGGAGTGTCAGGCTGGGTTCTATTTTTGCTGAGAGTGATGTCTCACTTACCCACTCCTCCAAGTACAAACCTACTTATCATCCAAGCATCATCAAATGTATGCAGAAGGCTCCTGCTATGGGGAAATGTTTCAAGACATTCACCTTGGTTAGAAGAAGATGGTGATTCCCTGGCAGCTAGCACTCATAACAAATGGCTTTTGAGTGCCCAGAGATAATTGTGGCCAGGCAAGGCAGTCTGCTTCATCCTTAAGCATGAGATCTCTCCAGACCAAAGTTGTTCCAGCTCTGGTCCCTTCTGTACTTTGTGTAGGGCACTGGGGGCTTTTTTCCCCCAGACTAAAGCTGCTGTGTAGTCGTGCTGTGCACTGTTAAACAGCCACTCTAATTCACACTGGGGAGCTCCACTTCATCAGTGAATAAAGCAACATTTTATTTTCTTTAATTCTCTAATGGGCTTTACAGTCCCGGGAAGCTGAACAGTGCAGTAGAAAAACAAGAATTCCTTGCTAAAATGAGTGCATTCTTAGCCACCCCCAAGAAATAACCATCTGTATTTCAAAAGCTAGTATTTGGCTTGTCAAACAAAAGAATCAAAAAGAAATTGTGTATTTTAAAACTGTGTCCACCTTCCTTTGAAATCCACAGAATTGCTGCTTTTTGGATTTTTCTTTATTCTTGTGGTGTCACATAGTAAGGATGGCAACAAGCTCAACAGAAAGCAGAGCACTGTCTTGCAGAGTCTGTATAAGGAGTAAAGTTGAATATGACCACTGATTGTAAAATCCCAGCCACTATCTCATTATCCCGATTTGCACTGTGCTCCTATTAAAAAATATCTGAGACCCACTGAGTTGGTAGTGAACTGTCTGAGCCTGCCAAGGATTTGGGGCAACATCAAGATAGTCTATCAAAGAAGATATCCAGGTGATGTTCCAAAAGGCATGTCCACGCTAATGTCTCCTTTTAACAAGCCACGATATCCTGCCAGAGAGAATCAGCTCCAAGAACTGTTTTTACATCACAAAAGAAACAAGCTCAGAGCAAATTGACATTTGGGTTTAGAATTGCATTTCAGGGAAAAAATAATAGCAGCATGTAAAGAGAAAAGGGAGGAAGAGTGAGGAGGCTGGGAAGGCTTACTTGCTTTGCTACCTTACCCGAGCGGAGTTGCTTGATTCGCCCATTGCTGGTTGCAGTGTCGACGGGCAGGAAGTCCTTGAACCAGGAGATTTCAGGATCAGGGTTCCCACTGGCAGCACAGAGCATCGTGGCTGTGCGGGCCTTTTCCACCACCTTCAGCTGTGGGCCCATGTCAATGGTTGGGAAGCCAGCAGGGAGGTGGTCTTCTGCAAGAGGAAAAAACACACAAGGTTAAAGAGGAACGCTCCAGCCTAGCAATGGGACACAGTTGCAGTGACAGCAGTGCCACCATACAGCATCTGTGCCTCTGCTGGAAAACAGCAGCCTGACTTCCCTACTGAGAATGTTATCAAGCCCTTAAAGCACATTAGGCTCTATAATGAGCATTCATTACACCAATAGAAGCTTCCACTAAATTTAACTCCATTTAAATCAACTGCCTTGGGAAACGTCCATAATTTTCATTGATACGTAAGCTCCATCCATTGTTGTTAATAATTCAGTAAAAGCAGGTATTTGACTTTTTGTGGGAGGACTGAGTTGAAGAAAACAGACAAACACGAAGCCAAATAGTCCGAGGCATCTTGAAAAACAACAGCTAAACAATAAAACCCCTTAGAAAGGTCCAGAGAGGTCTACTTTATCTTTTTTTTGACTAGCAACATTCTGTCACACTGGTAGATAGACTATAAATTTCTTCCTCATGCCTCCAAATCTGATTCTGAAAGCTTTTAGAAACTAATGAATGTAAAGCTAATGAGCCACACTCTGCTCATGAGCTGCCTGGCCAGACTGTGTCATGGCAAGCTCCTGGTGCATTTTCTGGGCTGTAGAAAGCAACAGAGTTGTGCAAGAAATGGCCAGTGCATGCTCTGGCATGGCTTACTACAATACTGTGAAACAAAGTACCCCCTTAACTGCTGAAATCATTCATACAGTAGGTAGAAAAAAGCAGTTAATTGGGTTTGTTGCTGCAGAGCACGCTCAGGTAGGCTGGGTGGAATACATTAGGCAGCCTTCACTGATAAGCCAAGGCATGCTCCAACATCGTCATTCAATAGCAGCTGCAGAACTGAGCTCGTTTATTCATTCTGTGGCAAGATGTACTGTACTCTGCTAAGCCTGAACTGCAATCAGAAGAACATACTTTTGCAAAAAAAAGAACTTGAAGAACATTAAGAAGCTTTTAAAGCACCAGAAACTCAATTATTTTCAGTGTGTTTCTTTTTTCCCCTGTTTTAAGGAACTTTAGGCAAACTTCTTTGGCAAATCCGATTCTGCAAGGCTCCCAGCTCACTGCAGTGTTTAAACAAACATGATCTTAGCATCTTCCCAAGTGCCAGAGGAGTCTGAACTTGCTGCAATCTGATTTTTCCTGCTATCACTGCACATCTGTACCCCTTACTTCTCACAAGGAGATATTAGCAATAGGTCACCTCAGGTGCTTCCTTCTACCTCTACTGCCATACCTGCAGCATGAACATGGCCTGTGGTAGCTAATCTTACATGTGTCTAACAAAGATCTCAAGAGAATTCCCAAGACCCTTGACTTGTTTGCAAATCAAGACTGTACCACAAGGCAAGATCTGCTAGAAACAAATAAAAAAATGCCTGGGAATATCATTTAGATGAGAGTGACTATGAAGCATTCAAGGTTTTCTACAGGAAAAAAGGTTCCTGATGTTTATTAAAAGCACAAACTATATTTTGTCTCCCAGATCGACCTCCTGAGAAACCTCTATCATCAGCAAACATAAATGGAATTATTTTTTTTTTTAATGAAATGTACTATGAAAACTAGTTCTTTTAAAATTTGCTCTCCATTGATTTTCAGAGACAAAAGGTACATAGAGCTTAACTGGAATGACACCAGCACCAGCATTCAACAGCAAGCAAAAGAAGCACTCAATACCGAGCAACCACAATGTATACTCCTACATGGCTGAAAAGAAACAAAAGAAGGGTACACACAAAAGTACAACATGGTATAGACTTAAAAGCAAAGGAAGAATTGTAGAAAAAGCAGTAGATAATGACACTCCCTTGGATTAAGGCCAAGTTTACCTATAGTGCAGCACCTTGCCATTTAGGGTATTGAAAACAGATGTTTACTCTGGGGAGGCTGAAACCCTGAAGTGATCTAATCTAATCACCACGATTACCATAGACCGTATTTTCTGGTTTGCACAAGATTTTACAAAGAATGCACTGCGCTAAGTATCACCCAGTTAACTTCATCCAAAGTCTGTGTAGATGCTTAGCACATAGGTAAAAGCAAACTGAAACCAGCATTCATACAAGAAATCTCTTCCTGTCTGCAATGGTCCCTGACCAGACAGGAGAGAGACCACAGAGTCCTTCACAGTGTCTGATCCACAGGTACACAGCCAGTCTGCTGCACTGGAGTGACTGTTCAATCAAAATTAGCAGTTTGAGATGAGCCACAGATCATCTAACCTTGACTTCACTGAGTACAACAGAGACACCGATTACAAACACCCAGCAGCAAAACTGCATCTGCTGTACCAGAACTCTTGGCTCAAGCCTTTCCTACACTCCAAAGTTAAATACAATGCTGCTCCCACACCATCTACCCCCTGCAAGACCAAGTCATTACAGAGCCCAGGTGAGAACACTGGGCACTCATCAGCTGAACAGAGGGCACAGGGTGCTGCCACATCATGATCCTCAGCACCCACACCCCGCACTGTGCAGGACACAGGCACAGCCAGCCACGCAAGGTTCATGCAGCGCAGTCTTTTCCCTCTTAACTGCACACAAGCCCCAGAACTACTGTGGCAAATGACAGTAGTACAGAAATGGTGCACCCTTCACAGTCAGAGCCACAGCATGTTTCCTGGGCTAGCACTGGTACTGGTACAGCCCAGTTTCCATGCATGCCTAGAGCCTGGAACCACCAGAACTCCAGCAAGCAGTGCTGACATGCCTGCATCTACCAAACAAGGACTTGCTCGATCCCTTGTCAATCAAACACAGGGGCAGCACTGGTGTTTCAGGGCAGCAGTGTGACTCCAGGAGGCTGTAATCCCAGGTCACATCACTGTGATGAGATGCACAGGGAAATGTGACAGCTGGTCTCTGATGACACCTCAGACACCCAGAGGCTGGAGTTCACCTGCTGTTAGTTCCATGGTAGCTTCAGGAGACATGTACTGGGGACAAGGTCAGAACATCCAGGGATCTAGCTCAAGAGGAAGACAAGCACCTTCTCCAGAGGTGGTCCAAGATGTACCTGTACCATCATGAAATGCGCAGCCTCAACCACTCCAGGTCTCCCCTGTATTGTGTGGCTCTGGCAGCTCCCCAAAACCCTCCTGAAAAAGAGTGGCTTTGGAGAAAACCTGAGCTGGTCACAGTGCAGAGCACAGCCCAGAACAAGCCCACGCCTGCCCCGTCAGCAACAGTCCTGTAGAGATAACAGGGCTTCGTTCCAGCCGGGCTTGGCACTGCTGACTTCACTGGGACAGCAAGGGATGCGTCTGTGTTCAAACACTACAGACCACGATAGGAGTTCAGAGCTGTTCTTGCCGTGCCTTGCCCTCAGGCAAAAGTCTAATCTAGGTATAATTATGAGGCTCAGTCATGCCTCGACTCCTTTCAGCCCCTGCTCGCTGTACTAACTTGTCTGCACACGGAGCTTGTCAGTAACAGCTAACCTCCCGTTCCAGCCAATACGAGGATGCTCTTATTTGAGAAAATGAGGTTGTCAGCACTTGGTTTTATTCGAGGATATCCAGTGTGCCTTCAACGCACATAAGAACAGGCTATGAATCTGCTTTCAAGTGCATACCATCGAAACCAGTTTTTATTTCTGAGTTTCAGTACTTTCAGAAGGTAGACCTTAGGTTAGAGCAAGCAAAATCTAGGCACAACAGGATTTTTGGGGGCACTGCAAGCTCTAACTGCCTCCACGAGCTACAGCAGCAGTAGCAGAAATGACAGAGGAAAGCAGGAATAGAGGAGAGAAGCAGGAGGAAAGGAAAGGAGAGGGAAACAAAAGGAGAGAAAAGAACAAACAAGTGGGTTTTGTAGTTACAAACTGAAACTTGGAAAATTTTCAACCAGGCTAAGGTCTTGCTAGCCGTAGTCACCAAGGAGACAGGAATGTCCCTCTGGCATCTAGCATGACAGCATGGGCAGAGGATATCTCCTCTCACTTGACAGCTCCCTTTGCTAATTTTCTTTCTGAAGTGACAGAAATCTAACCCCTGCTCTCATAAAGCTCTTTTGTGCCATACATTTCTCATCTTTAAGGGAAAAGCTAAGGTAAGAAACCTTTCCCACAGCCCCAAACTGGAGCTGAGACCTCCTTTAAAGCAGTTGCAATTACATGGCTTGTTCCCCAGCTCCCCAGAAAACTACCTGTTCTGAGGATGCTGCTGTGAGAGACATACCCCTCAGTGTGTCCTTATTTTCTGCATCACTCGAAATATCAAGTGATGATAAGGGACATAGAGGCAATTACAATTTACGTCTTACAAGAAGGACGGATCAGCCCCAGCATGGAATGGTGTGTAGATAACAGCTGCTTGCAAAAAATGCCTGCAGAGGAGTCTGTGGTGAGCACAGCTGTTGACAGCTGAATCCTGCAGGATTACCCCCAGGATTTTGCTGAAAACTTGTAATCTCTCGCAGGACAGAAAAGTTGGAGGAGCTGAATATCAAATTGCTACCAGCACAAACATTGTACAGCACTCACTATTCTTGCAGCCAAGCAGTTGTGTTGTGGGGGGAGTCATATCCTGACTTGGCACCTGTAAAACCTTCCCCATCACTATTTATTTCCTCTGTGTCAACATAGGAAATGGTATTTTAGAAATGATAGTGCAAACTGTAAACACGTTTATGGGAGTTATTTGTCACATTCTTCTTCCTATAAAAGCCAGGCTTGCTTACTATCATGAGTCCAATTGTTCAGACTGCTGAGGGAGAGTTAAAAAATGATACCAAATATAATTTGAAAATAGGAAAAAGTAGCTTTTCTATACATTACAGTTACAGCTGCGAGGGTAAATCTCTTACAATCTATCAAAACCACAGCCCCACTGGAAGGGGTGTTTTCAACTCCTTTCAAGTGAGATATTGGGCCTTATACAGGGCTGGAAATGGCTTATCTGGGCCACTGGCTGCTGCCAGCCTGCATCAGCTGAGGAACTTCCAGATCAACATCAATTTTAGGGTCTCG